TATATATATATATATATATATATATATATATATATATATATATATATATATATATATATATATATATATATATATATATATATATATATATATATATATATATATATATATATATATATATATATATATATATATATATATATATATATATATATATATATATATATATATATATATATATATATATATATATATATATATATATATATATATATATATATATATATATATATATATATATATATATATATATATATATATATATATATATATATATATATATATATATATATATATATATATATATATATATATATATATATATATATATATATATATATATATATATATATATATATATATATATATATATATATATATATATATATATATATATATATATATATATATATATATATATATATATATATATATATATATATATATATATATATATATATATATATATATATATATATATATATATATATATATATATATATATATATATATATATATATATATATATATATATATATATATATATATATATATATATATATATATATATATATATATATATATATATATATATATATATATATATATATATATATATATATATATATATATATATATATATATATATATATATATATATATATATATATATATATATATATATATATATATATATATATATATATATATATATATATATATATATATATATATATATATATATATATATATATATATATATATATATATATATATATATATATATATATATATATATATATATATATATATATATATATATATATATATATATATATATATATATATATATATATATATATATATATATATATATATATATATATATATATATATATATATATATATATATATATATATATATATATATATATATATATATATATATATATATATATATATATATATATATATATATATATATATATATATATATATATATATATATATATATATATATATATATATATATATATATATATATATATATATATATATATATATATATATATATATATATATATATATATATATATATATATATATATATATATATATATATATATATATATATATATATATATATATATATATATATATATATATATATATATATATATATATATATATATATATATATATATATATATATATATATATATATATATATATATATATATATATATATATATATATATATATATATATATATATATATATATATATATATATATATATATATATATATATATATATATATATATATATATATATATATATATATATATATATATATATATATATATATATATATATATATATATATATATATATATATATATATATATATATATATATATATATATATATATATATATATATATATATATATATATATATATATATATATATATATATATATATATATATATATATATATATATATATATATATATATATATATATATATATATATATATATATATATATATATATATATATATATATATATATATATATATATATATATATATATATATATATATATATATATATATATATATATATATATATATATATATATATATATATATATATATATATATATATATATATATATATATATATATATATATATATATATATATATATATATATATATATATATATATATATATATATATATATATATATATATATATATATATATATATATATATATATATATATATATATATATATATATATATATATATATATATATATATATATATATATATATATATATATATATATATATATATATATATATATATATATATATATATATATATATATATATATATATATATATATATATATATATATATATATATATATATATATATATATATATATATATATATATATATATATATATATATATATATATATATATATATATATATATATATATATATATATATATATATATATATATATATATATATATATATATATATATATATATATATATATATATATATATATATATATATATATATATATATATATATATATATATATATATATATATATATATATATATATATATATATATATATATATATATATATATATATATATATATATATATATATATATATATATATATATATATATATATATATATATATATATATATATATATATATATATATATATATATATATATATATATATATATATATATATATATATATATATATATATATATATATATATATATATATATATATATATATATATATATATATATATATATATATATATATATATATATATATATATATATATATATATATATATATATATATATATATATATATATATATATATATATATATATATATATATATATATAATATAATATAAACACACACACACACACACACACACACACACACACACACATATATATGCACACACACATATGCACACACACAAACGCACACATATATGTGCCATATAAACAATTTAAATGCAGTTATAAATAAATACACTTATATTTATTTCTGTATAACTGCATTCTTATTTGTACTGCTTTACCGAAATTTGTCGTTAACTGTAAATTGAATAAGGTAATCTAAAATAATTTATACTAACAAAAAATATTAGTAAATTTTAAGAAATTTAAAGTTTGTTTGTAAATTTGTTTGGAAAAATAAATGTCTGTTTAAATGAAGCACTTATTTCTAAAAAATTAAAGAAATAAGTTTCGTATCTACAACTTATTTTTACATTTTTAAATATAATTGCTTTATTGAAACAACTATTTTCTGAAACATATTCCAACAAACGGTAATAAACATTTACTAATTTCTTTCGGTGTAATAACACTCTCTATGCATTGCGCGTGTCATTGTGTATATCTTATTCTTTATATCCCAGATAGCACAAACACTCAAAGGA